ATATTAAATATATTTAATAGTTATATAAATATAATATATAGATTAAATATATTTTAATTATTTGTTCTTTTTGTTTACCCCTCGAATAGTAAAAAAAATAACTAAATATTGAAATTAACGCGATATTTACTCGATCTATTGAATGCTATTCAATTATAACAATGTTATATTTTACTCGTACAAATTATTATCCCACGAGAAATTCTTTAGAAGATTTCGATGCACAGGAATATTACTATGCTACACGGCGGGCATGTATCTGAGTTGGAGAAACCTGGCGTTGTTAGGTGCGAGTTTTCCGATACCGTTTTTGATTCTGATGTTCCTGATCCCGGAGACGCCAAGATATTATATCTCGAAGGGAAAAACGGAAATGGCACAAAAATCTCTTCAATGGCTGCGTCATAAGAATGCGGACATAACCGAGGAATTTAGCAACATTGTGCAAATACATCAAGAAGCCCTCGAGAGGTCTAATGCGCAGAGCACAGTCTCGTTGCTGATGAAGAAATGCCATTTCAAGCCGCTTCTCATCTCCCTCGGGCTGATGTTTTTCCAACAAATGTCCGGTATCAATGCAGTAATATTCTACACGGTACAAATCTTCCAGGTACGTATTCATCTCTGTTAATAGGTTGTATTGCGATAATTTCTTAACTGCGTAATTTTTAATCGCGTAGACAAAATAACGGATTAACCCACGCGAGAATGCTGATAAATCTCTCAATTTTAGAAAATATGTAGATACACGAAATCGATAAATAACGAATAAACGAACAATGTTCTCAGGACGCTGGTAGCACGATCGACGAGAACGTTTCGACCATAATCATCGGCCTAGTGAACTTCATCGCCACGTTCGTCGCCGCGGTCGTGATCGACAGGCTGGGCAGAAAGGTGCTGCTGTACATAAGTGCCATGTCGATGATCCTGACTCTCTTCGTCCTCGGTGGATATTTCTATGTTAAATCACTGGGCGTAAACATGGAAGCTGCCGGCTGGCTGCCGCTGGTCTGTCTAATCATATACGTGATAGGCTTCTCGACGGGCTTCGGACCGATACCTTGGTTGATGATGGGCGAGATCCTGCCCGCCCAGATCCGTGGTACGGCCGCAAGCATTGCAACCGGTTTCAACTGGACGTTCACATTCATCGTGACGAAGACTTTCCAGGACATCATAGACTTGATCGGCGCGCACGGTGCCTTTTGGCTGTTCGGCGCTTTCGTTGTAGCAGGTCTCATCTTCGTAATCCTCAGCGTGCCAGAGACGCGCGGCAAGACACTCGAGGAGATTGAGAGAAGATTCACCGGTCCGACTAGGAGATTGAGCGCGGTCGTTAATATGAAACCGATGCCGATGACGTCCTAGCTGCCGAAAGTTCGAAAGTCGCAGCACATCCCGTCGAGAACGAGCAGGCTCGTTCGCGCGAAAAGAATTTTTTATGACATCTTTTAAAGGGAAAGATTCCCTTATAAGGACACACGCTTTTCCTTAAAAGAAAGCTTTAGATTCGAAGGTACGCTTCTACTCTTCTGTGCAAAAAGGAGGCGTAGCTGCTCTCTCCCCCATGGCTCTTCTTATCTTGTTCTTATTTTCGAGATCTTCGATTCATTATTGCAAGGCTTGTCTACCACGACGAATTTGTGCAGAAACGAACAATATTCGAAGAGATAATCGAAAAAAAAAAAAAATAAGAAGAAAAACGAAATATGCAGGAACAAAGCATTTTTTATCATAAGACTCTTTTAAATTACAAAAATTGAAGCGAAGACAATTGCAGCTCGTCGGACACACCGCTCTTTCGTAAGACCCCGTGATCGATGACGCCGGAAATTAATTCCAGATATGTAAGCAAGCGTGAATAGCTAAGTGCGTTTCCGCATGCTAGAAAAGCGCATTTAAGCCTTAAACGAATTGTGATGAAGAAAATATATCGATGTTCAATCGCAAACTCGAAAATGAAAGTATAAACTAAATATTTAAAATTAATATATATTGAAAACGATTTTTTAAATCTTTCAAATATGTTTATGAAGTAATATATTCTATGCACATTCCACAATTATTCTACAGCTTAAATTGATTTTTTACTTGCGTTGAATCTATATATATATATATTTTTTTTTATCTAGATTGTGATAGAAAAAGATAGCGAAGAATATATAATTACTGATCACGCGAATTTATTTTCATAACATCGAAAGTAATATATTTCCACATGTATCTAACATTAAAATTTCAACTAAATGATTCAAACGTACAAGACATTCTCATCAATCATGTTTGAAAAAAATGTTTCATTAAAATCCATCCGATTATTTTGCACTAGCAATTATTGCAATAATATTACTCTGCATTTAACGACTTAATCAAGCGCGAGGCAGAAATTTCGTAACTCGTTTTCTGCACGTTGCGTAGAAATTTAATTAGAAAGCACGGCGAACAATCGGTCGAAGGAACGACCAAAATAATCGTTGCTCGCCCTTCGCGATTGTTTTCCTTGACATTATGCGGCTTCCCGACCTTATTTATATTCGAAGGACTTGCGACGAACAAAACTATGTCAGGATTACTCCAGCGTACGCCATCGTAATTCAAAAGATGAATTTAAATGATCCAAGATCACCGCGATACCCGCTACATAACATATACAATCGACCTTCTCCGATCTTTTATATGAGACAGACATGTCTTTGACATGAGAGAAAGAGAGACTCGCTTTTCTCCGCATATATAGTTATGAATATATATATCGACAATTATCGTATATGATGTACGAAATATGCTACGTTCAAAAAAAGATTTTAGATTTATTGCTTGCAATTAATTTTAACTAACTATTCATTCTAAAAAAGATGTATTATTTAATTAATTGATATTCATCGATATTCAGTTGACAATTAAAAGCTTGGTTCGATAAATGACAGCAAAATCGAAAAAAAAAAAAAAAAATTTACTATATGAAATATATATTGAATTCCAATTTCTTGTGTTGCAGGGTATGTGGATTGGATCGATTATGCCATTGAGCGCGCTTGTTGGTGGCATCACCGGTGGACCGTTCATCGAATACATCGGTAGAAGAAACACGATACTCGCGACGGCGTTCCCGTTCCTCGGAGGTAAGATCATCGAAACACAGAATTTTACACAACAAGATACAGTTTAGAATGTGAGTTAATGTAAACAATATAATGTTATGAAGCGAGAGCTTCCTCAAACGTATTAAAATTATTTAAATTTGCTGCACAGAATTGTTTTTTTTTATTACATCAATACGTGAATATGTTACAGCGTGGATCTTAATTTCAATGGCTACGAATGTCCCGATGGTATTGGTTGGACGCTCGTTATGCGGATACGGCGTAGGGGTCGGATCCTTGGCATTACCCGTGTACTTGGGTGAAACAATACAGCCGGAAGTGCGTGGTACACTCGGCTTAATGCCCACTGCCTTCGGTAACACCGGTAAGTGAAGCTAATGACGTATTCAGTTGACAATTAAAAGCTTGGTTCGATAAATGACAGCAAAATCGAAAAAAAAAAAAAAATTTTACTATATGAAATATATATTGAATTCCAATTTCATGTGTTGCAGGGTATGTGGATTGGATCGATTATGCCATTGAGCGCGCTTGTTGGTGGCATCACCGGTGGACCGTTCATCGAATACATCGGTAGAAGAAACACGATACTCGCGACGGCGTTCCCGTTCCTCGGAGGTAAGATCATCGAAACACAGAATTTTACACAACAAGATACAGTTTAGAATGTGAGTTAATGTAAACAATATAATGTTATGAAGCGAGAGCTTCCTCAAACGTATTAAAATTATTTAAATTTGCTGCACAGAATTGTTTTTTTTTATTACATCAATACGTGAATATGTTACAGCGTGGATCTTAATTTCAATGGCTACGAATGTCCCGATGGTATTGGTTGGACGCTCGTTATGCGGATACGGCGTAGGGGTCGGATCCTTGGCATTACCCGTGTACTTGGGTGAAACAATACAGCCGGAAGTGCGTGGTACACTCGGCTTAATGCCCACTGCCTTCGGTAACACCGGTAAGTGAAGCTAATGACGTAACTTCAGTTAAAAAGTTAACTTAAAGATATAATTAATCGATATAATTGACCGATTTAAACATTCGTCAATTTATTGATTTCATCCATATATGTATAGAAATCAACGTATCAATTTACCATTTCACACGCGTTTACTAGAAAAAAGGAACAAAGCATTTTTTATCATAAGACTCTTTTAAATTACAAAAATTGAAGCGAAGACAATTGAGCGAAGAGTTCTATGGATTGAAAGATTCAAGACAGTACCGATCTTTTATGAGCTTGAAGAAATTAATTTTAAAATATTTGGTGAAAATAATTCTTCAATGAATTTTCGAAATAATAATCTTTACAATATCGAGAAAACGCACGATCGACTTTGTTCATTTGCTTCTGCAATCTGTCTTCATAAAACGTGATTTGGCCGATTTCGTTTCGATTTATATATATCCAAGATATGTGATCGGAAGTAGCGATAGTGCCAATACATTATTCAATCCAAATTCGCGAGAGCGAGAGTTATCGATCTTAATTCAAATTTCCAGGCTATTATTATAATTAGCTTTAAATTAGTCTTGCGGGTAAATGGGTTTTCTGTTTTCCCCGCCGAGGAAAATGATACATGATATACGCGGCTATCGGCTGTTGACTAGTATGTAGTTGCAATTGTAATTTTTGTTGACAGTCCTAAAGAACCTATCTCAGGTTAATATTATGCTACGGTCAGATACGCGCAGATATATCTCAACGCGAGTCTCGCGGTTTTTTCTCTTTTCTTTTCTTTTTTTATGCAACGTATTTCGGTCGATTGCCGCCACGTATACTTTGATTTTTATGAAGAGCATATGTATAATATGAAAAAGATAATAAAGAAAAAAATCTTTAAATTATTAATCTTCATTTTAATTCATTTTAATTTTCTATTGATGTGAAGAGTGTGCGAGATTTCTAATAATTTATAATTTATATAGTTTTTAAATATTTTTCATAATCTCTTAATATAACAATATCAATTTAGAATAAATTATAATGAATACTATCGCATAAATAAATGAAAGTGGATACGCTAATGTTATTTTTGCATTAATGTGTATCGGAATACACTCAAAACGATATAAATTAAGTCACTTTTTGTTATAAATTAATGAATTCAAGTTAGCAATATAACAATCAATATAATTATCAATATAACAATTCATTACATTACAATATATAACATTTGATGATATATAATATTTCCGTCAATGAAAATGTACACAATTCGCGGAAAAGCGAGAGAAAAGAGAACTAATTAGGGAGACTCTGAATTAATTAAGACTCACCCATAACCTGGACTCTGCAAATGGCACAGGTGTCGCACTCCACGTCCCAGCTCCACATAGCCACGGCGTTCCACTTTTTCAGGGTGAACATTTTATCGTTCTTCTGGTTATCGCCATCAAGTCGGTCACCCGGGTCTTCGGAGTCGGCCATGTTTGAGGTTAGAAACACAACAGTGGAACACACTCGCGGAGGTTAGCCCGACACGATCAACACGAATCTCGCTGCAAAATGCAAAACCATCGACCAAGTGCTATCAGAGATCAGAGACTCGCAGTTCAGCGTGGACAGTTTCGTAACTATTCTGGGGATAATCGCGAAATCTTGAACTAGATACAACCGATATCACAGACGCTTGTTATTCAATGACACAAGTTGACTCGATTTAATTCTTACAGGATGACCAATAATATTTCTATTATACGATAATTATATAGCGTTAAAAATTTTGTCGTTGATTATTCTACAAATTAATTGGAACTTATTTGAAATGAGCAATCAAATTATGTCGGCTTGCGTCGTTCAAATGGAAAACACTCGTACAAGTCGCGATCACACGCGATGTGTCTGTTTATATACAGACAATTTTCAGATATTCTCGAGGGAAATACACTCTTTGATATTCGCGAGAGAAAGAAACACGAAGCAAAATTTGAACGCGTTTTCGGGATCGGCAAAAACGATATATTGCAATTCTCAAAACATATACTTGATAGTTGGACAAAAATCCGGACCGCGATCACAATGCTATTTTTTCGCTTTGCTCCTACCTCTTTAAAACTTTCTGTTTGTCTTATTTTCACTGTATTCGATATGTAATATTTCACGTCGTCTAAACGACTGAATACACACGTACCACGTACGCACAAGTGACTCGCGCTACCGCGTATTGTAAACAAAGCGGCCGGCCTTGACCTCGGCTCGGATGGTTGGAATGTCTTCCTCTCCCCACTCTCCCCTACTATTAAATCGTAACAGCGTTATATTTTATTCTTTCTACGAATTATTATCCCACGAAAATTTCTTATTAAGATTTCGATGCGCAGGAATATTGCTATGCTTCATGGCGGGAATGTATCTGGATTGGAAAAACCTGGCGCTGTTAGGTGCGAGTTTGCCGATACCGTTTTTGATTCTGATGTTCATGATTCCGGAGACGCCAAGATGGTATATCTCGAAGGGAAAAGTAAAAATGGCCCGAAAATCTCTTCAATGGCTGCGTGGCAAGAAAGCGGATATAACCGAGGAATTGAACATCATCGAAAAAATGCATCAAGAGTATGTCGAGATGGAACGGACTAATGCGCAGAGCTTATTCTCGGAGTTGACGAAGAAAAACAATCTTAAACCGCTTCTCATCTCCCTCGGGCTTATGTTTTTCCAACAAATGTCCGGCATCAACGCAGTGATATTCTACACGGTACAAATCTTCAAGGTATGTATCCATCTCTATTAATAAGTTGTATCGCAGTAATTTTTTAACTGCATCATTTTTAATCGCGTAGACAAAATACCGGATTAATCCACGTGAGAATACTGATAAATCTTTCAATTTTGGAAAATATGTAGATATACGAAATCTCGATGAATAATTAATAAACGAACAATGTTCTCAGGATGCTGGTAGCACGATCGACGAGAACGTTTCGACCATAATCATCGGCATAGTGAACTTCATCGCCACCTTCGTCGCCGCGGCCGTGATCGACAGGCTGGGCAGGAAGATGCTGCTGTACATAAGCGCCGTGTCAATGGCCCTGACTCTCTTCGCCCTCGGTGGATTTTTCTTCGTCAAATCACAGGGCGTAAACGTGGAAGCCGTTGGCTGGCTGCCGCTGGTCAGTCTAATCGTGTACGTGATAGGCTTCTCGCTGGGTCTCGGACCGATACCCTGGTTGATGATGGGCGAGATCCTGCCTGCCAAGATCCGCGGCTCGGCCGCAAGCGTTGCAACCGGTTTCAATTGGTCGTGCACGTTCATCGTGACAAAGACCTTCCAGGACGTCATAGAATTGATCGGCGCGCACGGTACCTTCTGGCTTTTTGGCGGTATCGTTGTGGCGGGTTTCATCTTCATAATCCTCTGCGTGCCGGAGACGCGCGGCAAATCGCTCGAAGAGATTGAGAGGAGGTTCACCGGCCGAACAAGGAGGATGAGCTCGGTCGCTAATATGAAACCGATGCCGATGTCGTGCTAGCCGTCGAAAACTCGAAAATCGCAGCACATCCTGTCGAAGACGAGCAGGCTCGTTCGAAGAACTTCTTACGGCGTCCTTCTAAGGGAAAGGTTCCCTCATAAGGACATACGCTTTCCCTTAAAGGGAAGCGCTAGGTTCGAAGGTACGCTTCTATTCTTCTGTACAAAAAGGAGACATATCTGCTCTCTCCCCTTCGGCTCCTCTTATCTTGCTCTTACTTTTGAGATCTTCGGTTCGTTATTGCAAGGCCTGTCTATCACGACGAATTTGTGCAAAAACGAACGTATTCGAAGAGATAATCGATAAAAAAAAAAATCTCCCCTCCTTATCCGCCTTCGCATACCATCATCTCGCATTTTTCGAAACTTGTTGATGTTGTTGTTTTCAGACGCGACACACACATACACGGATATATTATTTACGCTCTCTATACACTCTCAAGAATGATGTATCAATTATATTTGATAAAAATAGCAGCGTGTTTGTATGTTGAAATATTTGATTCGCGCCAATTCTCGGACCACGGTATCCATGGAAACAGTGGGTAAATAAATCGGGCTTTTGGCGCGAACGGGGAGGTATCAATAGCGTGGTCGACTATATATAATTTTTTATAATAGATCCTCTTGCAACGCTAAGATTTATTGTTTATATGTATAAATTATAATAATATATTTTAGTTTTTATATAAAAAGTCTATCTATCTAATCTTTTGTCTATTGAACTCAAGATTATAATATATTATTCACATATCTCGTACATGTTTTACTATCGCCGCGCATGCGCGAAAAATTTGGCGCGCATAATACAGTAGAAAAGTTCACACGTCTCCGCGCTCGCATACTGTGCATTACGCGCGTATCATTATCGTATTATTTAATATATTATTTAACGTCGGAATACTTGTAATGCAGATTTAATCGCGATCCAACATTGCCAATATCAAAAGTACGTTACTGATAAATAAATATTATTTGCAGGTAAGCGTGTAATATCGGGAAGTGCCGAAAAAAGTATCGGGCGACCGTCATATCGGGAGTGTCGAAAAAAGTATCGGGAATGCCGAGTCCATGTATTTTGAGAGTAGAGTAAAAAAAGAATAACTGATAAAAATATTTTATCTGCAGGTCTTTTTAAAAGAGAATAAAAATTTGACATGTATAGAAACAATAGATGAGATGAGAATTTTGCACAATAAATGACGTACAGAAAATATTTATATATATGTAGGATGCAAAACATTTATTTAAGACTTTGATTTCAAATTAGATCAATTCTGTACATACACAACAGCTACAGTTATATCCTCACAGATTGTTATAAATTTACAATTAATTTTTTTTTTTCTTTTAATGTACAGGCGCGTATCACGGGGTACATAATATAGATAATACAGATAATAAACTTATAGGATTTTTTAAGTTAATTTAACAATCTCGATTTTATAGCACTCCATTAGACATATTTCGTTTGAACGTAATAAACGTAGCGTCTCTATAAAAATATATCTTTAATCCAAAATTAAACCTCGCAATTTTTTCGCTTTAATCACTTTATCTATTTTACAAGAAGACATATTTGCATGTTCTTTTCCATTGGCAAAAGTTTCGATTTCCATGAGACGAACAGAAAATATGAAACATTGTTACAATATTGTAGTAATATTCTCTCTTCTGTATATATTGAGAAAAAAGAAACAAATAGGTATTTGGTTAGTACTAAAGCATAGGATACTTATAAACAACAAAATTATTTTGTCGCTACATAATTTGAATATATTCATTCTATATTGTTATGCTGTGTTAGTATGAATTTTTGATACAATTACTGCATTAGCAACAGCAACGTAACATCGAACTTTTGCAACAATTGGCGCTGAGGCAATAATGAAAAAACTATAAAAGCAACACACGTCAGTTATTGTAATAAACATGACAATGATAAAAAAAATCTAAGTTTTATAATTATTATAGTCTGAACGGGCGGCAAGAGCATATTGCTTTACCATATATATATATA